TGTTCGGGCCCCACGCAATCTCCAAAGCTCAGCTGGAGGTCCTACACCGGCTACGTCAAGCATTGCCGCCAGCGGAGATGGTCAATGTTTCTTCCTGGCGTCCAATCTTGGCATCTGTTTCCCTTGAAGATGGGGCAACGGCGGTGTGGTGCGAACGAGTCCTCCAGCGCCTCCTCCCCATCATCCTCCGCCTGCCACTGCTGCTGCTGTTCCTCCCCCCCTCATCTCCTTTGACATTATCTTTCTTCTGCGTCCCCTCCTCCTCCTCCTCCTCCTCCTCCTCCTCCTCTTCATCTTCCTCTTCATCTTACTCTTCTTCCTCTTCCTCTTCCTCTTCCTCTTCTTCCTCCTCCTCCTCATCTTCCTCTTCATCTTCCTCTTCCTCTTCCTCGTCCTCTTCCTCTTCCTCCTCATCCTCCTTCTCCCCCTCGTCCGCCTTCTCATTCTCATGTGCCCCCTTCTTCTTTTTCCTCCTCCTCCTCAAACTTAGTCTCCTCCTCCTCCTTCTCCTCCTCCTCCCTTTCTTCTTCCACATATCCTAAGATGGGGTTATTGTTATTACTTGGACGCCTCCTACTCCTCCTCCTTCCTCCTCCTCTTTTCTCCTCCCCTCCTGTCGGACATACTCAGACTTGCTCATACACAGACTTACTCATACTCAGACTTACTCATACTCAGACCTACTCATACTCAGACTTACTCACACTCAGACATACTCATACACAGACTTACTCATACACAGACTTACTCATACACAGTATTAGTCATACCCAGACGTACACATACACAGACTTACTCATACACAGACTTACTCATACTCAGCACCCCTAAGGGGAGCCGCCAGGGGTGGTTGCACGGGCTCGTTCGCGGCCATTTTGTGGGGATGTCTCAGGCGGTTTGCCTGTTTCTGTGCCCAACATCCTTCGCTTTCGGAGCAGATTTGGAGGATGTCTCGAGCGAGGCGCTCATTTCAGCACCCCTAAGGGGAGCCGCCAGGGGTGGTTGCACGGGCTCGTTCGCGGCCATTTTGTGGGGATGTCTCAGGCGGTTTGCCTGTTTCTGTGCCCAACATCCTTCGCTTTCGGAGCAGATTTGGAGGATGTCTCGAGCGAGGCGCTCATTTCAGCACCCCTAAGGGGAGCCGCCAGGGGTGGTTGCACGGGCTCGTTCGCGGCCATTTTGTGGGGATGTCTCAGGCGGTTTGCATGTTTCTGTGCCCAACATCCTTCGCTTTCGGAGCAGATTTGGAGGATGTCTCGAGCGAGGCGCTCATTTTCACCCCCCAGGTGGGCCAGATTTTGAGGATGTCTCGATCGGTTTGCTAGTTTTGGTGGCCAGGCTCGTGGGCGCAGATTCTTCTCAGGATGCCACAGGAGGCTCCAACAGGCTCCAGGAGGCTCCAGGAGACCACATGAGGTCCCAGGAGGCATCAGGAGGCCACAGAAAGACTCAAGAGGCCACAGGATGTCCCAAGAGGCTCCAGGAGGCCCCAGGAAGCTCCAGAAGGCCTCAGGAAACCACAGGAGGCCCCAGGAGGCAACAGGAAGCGCCAGGAGGCCTCGGAAGGCAACAGGAGGCCCCGAGAGGCCCCAGGAGCAGGAGGCCTCAGAAGGCAACAGGAGTGGCTCCAATCCCATGTGTTTTACGTATGCTCCTATCGATTGGGCCTCACCTGGAGCACGATTCTTTGATGTTCTACGTATGTTTCTATAGATGGTCCTTCTCCTGTGTACACAATCCTAAATGTTTTACTCATGTTCCTATGTATTGGGCCTCTCCTGGGGCACGAGTCCTTGGTGTTTTACGCGTGTTCCTATAGATTGCCCTTCTCCTGTGGCTCTAATCCGCAATGTTTTATGTACGTCTGTTGCTATAGATTGCGCCTCCCCTGGGGCACGAAACCTTCCTAGGAGGTCCCAGGAGGTCCCAAGAGGCTCCTGGAGACCCCAGGAAGCCCCAGTAGGTTTCAGGAGGCCCCAGGAGGCCCCAGGCTCATGCACAGAGACGCGCTCGTACTACTGAGGCTCATTCACACTCCAATTCATTCGCAGTTAGATTGATGTCCAGACCGTCACAACTGAAGCCCGTTAATATTCGAAAGCTCTTGCGCCTAGACATTCACGGCGGACAGGTCCATGCGAGTAGATGCACATATGGGGAGCTCCACGCAGTGAATAATTTTTCTCTTGCCGCAGCTGTTCCCCAAGGGGGTCGCCGGTGGACCTGCCGCCATGCGGGCGGCAGGGCACAGAACATCACTTAGCGTTTAGGGCGGCTTCCCCTCCGCTGGCGCCCCGTACACCCGGCGTCCGATAATCCAGCGAGGTGTAGGAGGGAAGGCGAGGTCGGGGCCAGTTCGATTCCACCCGCGGCGACACGGGCGCTTCGGGGAGGCGTGGCCACGCTAACGCCGCAGTGCCAGCGAAGCCCCGCATCGGGCGTACCAGCGCCAACGCAGGTGCTGGCACCCGGGCAGGGTAGGCGGTGGCTGCAGGGCGCCACTCGAGCACCGCGATTTGTGGGGGCTCTGCCGAGGCAAAGGGCGCCCGCTCCAGCGGCTGTAATGGGATCTCGCCGCAGAATTTTAGGCTTGGTGGTGTGGCACCCCAGCGTGCCACATAGTGCGAGGCGCTGTTGCTGTGGGCCGTCCTCTCTGACGTCACGCTCGTCGAAGTCCCCCAGCTGGGGCATCGGCTCGCACTCGGGCGAGTGCACGATGTCGACCTCAGGACTGATGGCGATGTGGCACCAGGCCTTCGCGATCAGCACGACCTCTCCCTTGATCCCGTGAACATGGGAGGCCGGGCCCTGCCCATGTGGCAGCGGTGGGCGCACATGGCCACGGCCGTCTGCTGCGACGCCTTGAAGCGAAGGGTGCTCAGGATGCAGCTTCTGGAAGATGTGGTGGGCAGCGCGCTGGGTGCCGAGCCCCGCCTGGAAGTCTTGGTACGGCCACCTCCTTCCACTGCTGGTGCAGACGTTGACCAGGTCCACGACTGGTCCTTGCGGCGACGATCAGTCCTCGGCAGTGGGGAGGCCTTCCCACTCTCTGGGCTTGCTGGTCTCCCTAGAGGAGTCACGCATGGCGACGAAGACCCATGGTGCTGAGCGCAGCACATACTCGTCGGGGCATGGGTTCATGGGGCCCGGCGCCTGCTCGCCTCTTACCCCCTGAGCCCCGAAGTCGTGAGCTCCAGTCTGTACAGCAGCATTAAGTCGGGCGTGTTCCCCTACAGGGGGATTTTCGACGGAAAATAATGAATACCCCAAACATACTCCAAACATGCTCAAACGTACTCGAAAACTCGTCCCCTGACAAATTTTTTACTATTTTCGAATATTCCTCCTGTAGAGGGACCGGCCCGACTTACAAGCAGCAGGAGCACGACGCCTTGATCGCAGCCTTGACTGCATGGACATTGGCCGCCATCGGGTGGATGACGTTACTGCCGACTGATATCGGCAGACAGGCCCAATTCGAGAGGTCGTCGAGCCAGATCTCGCAAGGGATCTTCGTGGTGCAGGGCCCCTGGGCCTGAAGCAGCGGCAGCGCTTCCGTGGCCGCGCAGGGTGGCGGCGCACTCGGGGATGCATGCGGCTGCAAGATCAGTTCAGCGTAATGCTTGTAGCCGACTCGAGCCGAAAGCTACGGGCGCACTGGCTGTGAGAGGGTAACAGGGTGGCGATGAGGGCGAACAGCAATCGGGGGGGGGGCCGGGCGCTCGGATGTGCTCGTCCCTCGCTCTCACCCCAGGCAGGGGGGTCACGCCGTCTGGGTGGTAAGCCCTGCTGCACTGCGCCATGCCCCCCAATGGACACCCGCAGTGGCTGCCCCGCGGGTGGGGAATCCGTGCTTGGATGCATGCGGCCGCGGGCTGCAGCGCCTGGCGGCCGCATCCAGGCGCACACCGAGGGCGGTGGTGGCGGCGTGGCGGCGGCGAGGGCTGCGCGACTGCCTTCCCTCAGGCGGCGGCGGTGCCGCAGACGCGCTCAACGCTGCGCTGCCGTCGAAGCACTGGGCAAGACGACGACCCTGCGGCGCTTGATCCGCTTCTTGCCGGGTGCCGTCGGCCGCGTTCCGTCAGCTCTGATGTCCGAGGGCCATAGCGCGGCATGCCCTGCCAACTCGATGGTGCGCCCTTGATGGGGTCGATGATGCCGCTGCCCCAGCCATCCCATCCTTCTCCTCGTAGCAGTGCGTGTGGTACTTGAAGGGGTCCTTAGGAGGCAGCGGGGCGTCAAGGCTGCAAACGACTCCCTGCATGAAGGCAAGGTTTGATGCCATCAAGCTGTTGCGACTGCAATATGGACAAGCCTTGTCACTACGACCTTCCTGCGAATGTATTTGCGGGTAGCAGTGGGACGATTGCGATTGTCGCTGTCGCTAAAGCCGTTGGGCATGTTGCTCCTCCTCATCACCATCGTGCTCCTCCTCATCATCCTACCGCTGCTCCTCACCTTCCTGCTGCTGCTCCTGCTGCTGCTGCTCCTGCTGTTGCTCCTTCTCCTCCTCCTCTTCCTCCTCCTCATCTTCCTCCTCCTTCTTTGAACGCTGCTGCTTGGTGAAGAGTTGCGAAGAGTACGAGTGAACACAGGCAGAGACCACTGCTGCTGCTGCTGCTGCTGCACCGCCTCCTCGTTCTGCTCCTGTTCATCCTCCTCCGCCTTCACCTCTTTCCCTCCTTGCCCCCAATCTGTACCTCCCCGTCCTCTTCTCCAACCTTCTCCTCTTCCTCCTCCACCTCTTCATGCGTCCTCCTCCTCCTCCTCCTCCTCCTCCTCCTCCTCGATCCTCCATCCTCCATCCTCCATCCTCCATCCTCCATCCTCCATCCTCCATCCTCCTCCTCCTCCTCCTCCTCCTCCTCCTCCTCCTCCTTCTCCTCCGCATCCATCCTCCAACCTCCATCCTCCACCTCCTCCTCCTCCTCCTCCTCCTCCTCCTCCTCCTCCTCGGGGGCAAGCAGGGGGCCGCACCAAGCCCCCACAAATCCAGGCTCCTGAGAGGCCAGCGTGTCTGGGTGCTCCGGCCCCAGGGCGTCCATGCGACCCTCTGCGGCCTGTCGAGGCGCAAATTCTTTTCCCCCCATGCATCTCTCTCTCTCTCTACCTCCGTCTCTGGCAGGAGGCGGCGGGGGAGGAAGAAGGAGGACGAGGAGGGTGAGGAGGAGGAGGAGGAAGAGGAGAAGGAGGCGGACGAGGAGAGAGAGAGAGAGAGAGAGAAGAGAGAGGCTGGATAGAAGGAGGAGGAGGAGGAGGAGGAGGAGGAGGGGAAGTTGGATCGGGGTAGGGGGGAGGATGAATGAGAATTTCAGGGGCGACAAGCAGGGGGGGACCAACAAGGACTTGACGCCCATCCTTGTCCCCAAAAGGCGGAGGGGGAGGACGAGAAGGGAAATGAGGGTTTTAGGGGCCACTTGGGGGTTCCAGGGTGCTCTGGGGGATGCCCCTCCTCGTACTTCCCCTCCTTGTCCCCCTCGCCCTGCGCCTCTACCCCCCTCTCCTCCCGCCTAGCTGTCACTCGTGATGTTTTGAAC